ACTAATTTATAAAAAGCTAGCACTTAATTGGGTTATGCTGCCACATTTCCCAGACTTCCATTATTAAGTCACATTTCCCTGATTTTCTTTATTAAGTCATTTTTTTGTACTAAGTCAAGAAGAAGCACCCATATATAACATACTGGATTAAGGGTTGTTTCTTTCATTTCTCATTAAATCCTATGTAAATAAAGTGGCTGAATTGGTAAATGATGTCTAACTGGATCAAGTTATGGGCTGTTTCTTTTTAAACCTGAATGAACTGTCTGAATATAGTAAAGAACCATGATGAAAAAATCTGTCTATATAGAAGTTGGTATAGACTGAAAATTTTATTTTATATAAATAATGATACAAATGTAATTATATTTACCTTTACCTTTCTATTTAGAAATGACAATGATGAAAAAATCTGTCTATATAGAAATTGGTATAGACTGAAATTTTTATTTTATATAAATAATGATACAAATGTAATTATATTTAATTACAACATCATTAGTACCTTAAATTCAACACAAATTTTCATAATCAATAAAGTAAAAACCATAACCTTGCAAATAAAATAAACTATTGCCAATTCATTTAATAAATGAATCGGTTAACTCTAGTAGGATGGGCTAGGATGCCATTCTGTCTTGATTAAGTCAAAAAGAAACAGCCATAAATAGTTGTCCAGATTAGGTGCTTAAATCCATTAAGTCAAAAAGAAACAGCAACTAGGTAGAGCTTGTGATAACTAAAAAAAAAACTAAAAGATGCGCCATATTTATATAACTACCTGACCTGATCACTAACTTAATAACTGTAACATGTTAGACCACTAACTAAAAACTCCTAAGACCCACAAACACTCATTATACTGAAAAATCTTTTTATTACAGATATGCATTACTACAAGTACTTCTGCTGGCTTAGATCAAATATTACCATGGATCTTCTATCATAAAATCATTGGTGTTTCAACCTTCTTCTTGTTTGTGGAAGGAAAAGCCGCATCCCCAGGTGTATCTAAAGTCTTGGAGTCTATCCCTGTGAGTTTACATCTCCTACAAAGTTTTGATCTTTCATAACATATGTGATATGTGTTTGTTTGTTTTCCAATAAACATACTCACCATAATTTATTCACAGGAGGTCAAGGTGATATACAGGACAAGAGAACTTGAAGAAAAACAAGCCAAGAGGTTAGTTACATTTACCTTTTTTTTTTTTTTTTTTTCAGTTTGTATTTATAAATTCCTATGAAAACCATATTTTGATCTTCAGCCGGATATGGAATGAGACATGGCTTTCAAGCTTCTTCTACAAACCATGCAACTATGAGTTGTTTGTCAAGCAGTCCCTCAATATGGAAATGGCTATTGTCATGGCAAGGGTATCAAATCATTACTTATCTTTTAAAAAAAGAAAAACTCATATTTTCTTTTGTTGTGATTAATCTTTATGTGCATTTAATAACATGGTCTTTTCTGTTCACTTGTAGGAAGCTAACCTGGATTGGATCCTTCATCTGGACACTGATGAATTGATACATCCAGCTGGCACTCGTGAATACTCTCTTAGAAAGCTTTTGTCAGATGTCCCTCAAAATGTTGATATGGTTGTGTTTCCAAATTATGTAAGTTATGTTCATTATTTCTTTCTATTGATTGATACTTTCTTTTTTATTTTAACTTTAAGCAGACACTTTGATTCAGTGATATTTTGTGTCACATTTTGTAGGAGAGCAGTGTAGAACGAGATGATATAAAGGATCCTTTCAGTGAGGTATAAAACTCGTTTTGTTTTGCTGGATTCCATGGGAACTGGAATTCAATTCCATTCTAATTCCTTATTTCTGCAGGTGTCAATGTTCAAGAAGAATTATGATCACCTACCAAAGGATACATACTTTGGTAATTATAAGGAATCAACTCGTAATAATCCTAACTACTTTTTGACATATGGAAATGGGAAGTCTGCTGCACGTATCCAACATCATTTGCGTCCTAATGGTGCACATAGATGGCACAACTACATGAAGACTCCAAAGTAATACTTACCATTTCCCTTACTCATATTATAGTCATATTACATCAAATCAGCTACTACTACTTGTTGTCTATTGAGTCGTTCTTTCTGCATTAAGTCATAAAGAAACACACACACATATATAGCCTACTGGATCAAGTATTGTATTTGTCCCCATTAAGTAGAATAGAAACAGCAGCTTAGCAACTGAATCTTTAATAAGTTTTATGTATGTGTGGACTGGATGTAGTGAGATCAAACTGGATGAGGCTGCTGTGCTGCATTATACATACACCAAGTTTTCAGATCTGACATCAAGGCGTGACCGATGTGGCTGTAAGCCTACAAAAGAAGATGTTAAAAGATGCTTCATGTTGGAATTTGACAGATCTGTGAGTATTGATTTTGAAAGATAGTGAGAAAATCTAACTTGTAAATATCAGAATATCATGACGATAATGAGCAAATAACCAACTTTAACTTGAAAACTTTGCAAGAATGTAGATGTTGCAACTTCATTAGAACATCCTAATAAGTTTTTAGTTGGGATAATTTGTCATATGATCTCACTAATTGTGCTGGCTGCAGGCTTTTATAATTGCATCAACTGCAACAGAGGAGGAAATGCTAAGCTGGTAAGAATTTCTGTGCTTTTTTTATATAGTTTGTATTTAGATTTCAGCTATAGATTTGATGAAGTAATACCATATATATATGTTGCAAAAAATGTGAATAGGGCCTTTACTACTTCTTGACACTTAAATTCTACAGGTATCGTGAACATGTTGTATGGACTGATAAAGCTTTAAATATGAAACTGATGAGGAAGGGAATTTTGACTCGCATTTATGCTCCTATGGTCAGTAGTTTTTATTTTTATTTCTCCCTTGGATACCCTCCCTTTTGTGACTTGTTTGGTATGATGGAATGGAATCACAAATAAATGGAATCCTTTATTCGATTCCATTCCGCTTTTGATAGTTTTGATGCATGTACCAAACACTGCCTCAAGTTTATTTATTATGTTGTTCATATCTCCTCCTACTTGAATAGGTGATCATGCAAGGATTAAGAGAATCTGGCACCTTCACTTCTTTAATTGCCTCTGCACAAACAAGTAGTCTACCAGAACCTAAGGTTTTGGCATCCATTAATGATGGTAATATTTCCTCTAAAGCCTTTGAAGGATCAGATACCCTTTCAAAGAAGACTGAAATGACTGGTAGGAAAGTTCTAGAAGCATCTGAGGTGGTTTTATTGGCGGTTCCACCACTTCCTCCTCCAACCATGGATGATGATGATGATGATGATATATGAAGTGATGATTGTTTAGTGTGAATGTTCCCGATCTTTAACCAAGCGTGATGTACATTTTAGATTAGATTAGATAGGAGGTTAGATTCACAGAGGTAGTAGCAGTATTTACAGCCTTATTCATGCACTTGGCCTATTTGTCAATTGATTTCTCATGTATACAAAGTAAGATCTCCGTTGTGATTCGGCTTTTTGAAACCTTTGATGTTTTTTTTATATGCCTTTCTTTATTTCTTGCTCTTTTGGAAACCCTGTTGGCTCAGCTCATATATTGGTTTATAGGTACAAGTTTATGGAAGTATGCTGCCTCTTAACAAGAATTAAACAAACCAAAACAGTCATTCCACTTTTCAATATTTGTAGTTACTAAAACTTTCATTTGTGGTTTCAACCCACACTTTACAATTATAGGAGCCATGATCTACCTATTCCTCATCTCCAATAATCGGTCTCCCCACCTCCTACTTCCGGCAAACTATTTATCCCCCACCTTCCACCCTCTCACTTCCAGTAACTGAAAAGCCACATTGCAACATGTATCTACCCACAAAAATTCGAGTTAAGGTCAAAAGCCTTTGCACAATACAATGAAGTTCAATTAACATAAAAAAAAATGAAAAAAACAAAATAAAAATCCCAAAATCAAACTGAAAAGCCAGATTCCAAACAGAGAAGAAAATGAATATAGAACATGAGCATTTTGAAAAGGTCATTCCAAAAGAAGACCGAATAAAGAAAATCGATACCAGATTCAGAAAACCAAAACCAAGACCCAAGCATCAAACTAAAGAATGAACTGGACCTTTTTGTGATTCTCTAGCATAAACATTAACGGTTTTAAACAAAAAAAAAGTTTTTTGTAGGGCTGAACATGGTACGGTACCAGATATTTTCTTGAAACCGTATGCCGTACCAACTATAGTTGGTAGTGAAATTTAGCTACCATTACCGTACCAAATATAATTGGTACCAACTTGTTGGTTACCAACAATTTTGGTTGGTATATATTGGTATTGGTATATACCAAAAACTCAAACTATTATGAATTTGAAGATTTTAATCGTTGATAATCTATATAAGTCTTTAAATTATAATCAATCACCCGTGGTTCGGAAGTTTTCCAAACTTGAAAACAAAATAAGCAAATTAATTTATGATATATATATATATATATATATATATATATATATATATATATATATATATATATATATATATATATATATATATATATATTATCACCTCGTGGTTCAAAAGTTTTCCGAACGTGCATAAATTAATTTGTCTTTTACTAAGTTCCTATTTTTGAACATCGAGTAATCATCCGAGCCTTAAATTATAACCAGCATTCATTTTTAAAATGATATATATATATATATATATATATATATATATATATATATATATATATATATATATATATATATATATATATATATATATATATATATATATATATATTTGGTTGGTACGGTATTACCGTGGTATTCGAAATTCTATACCATTACCGTAGCAAGATTACTCAATTTGTATGGTATTACCAACCAAATATATTGACTACCAAACATATCGGTAACCAACTTAATTGGTTCGATTGGTAGCATATTGGTTGGTTTTCTTTGGCACATGTTTGATAGCCCTAGTTTTTTGTTTCTAAGTAGATTGCCCTAGTCATGGAAGTATATAGCCACCAGCAAGAAGTCAATCATCAAGTGTTTGTTTGTTTTACTGAACGAGTTTGAATCCATACGTGGCCTCTAACCCCGACTTTCTGTGCTTCCTATACCGTCGTCATGAGCGGGAATCACCATTATTAACTCCAACACAATTCCCCGCCTTCCTCTTATGTACGCATTTCTTTAAATCTAATGAATTATACGTTGAATTTAGGGTTTCGCAATTTCCTTATTCCTCAAAGGTATCACAAGTCTTATTTAGCATTTCCTAAAACCGTTTTCCCTTTGTAACCAAACTTTTATCTTTTATGTGCCTACATCGTTTGTTATTTGTTTTCCTTTACTGGGTTTTTTTTTTTGACCAAAGAACAATGCTTTTCTTTTTGTTCTGGACAAAATAGCTTATACATCTTTCGAATGGTCCAGTTATTTCCCCCCTTTTTCATTTGCTTGAAATAGTAGCAGGTTTTGTCACTTTCTCAAGGCTTACCAGCTTTTTTGGTAATAGGATCGGAGTAATTCCGAAGAACTTGAAAATTGGAGCTCTGAATTTTGGGATATCTAGACGAATGGGGTGTCAAGAACTCTCTTCAAGTTCAAAGTCGAAAAGTTCCTTAAGCAGCCAGCCAGAGGTTATTCATTCATCTAACTTAGACGGATTTATGAACTTCCACTTTCCATTGAATGTGCGTTTTCCTTGTTGCGTTCATGAAATATCCAAAAGGGAAATTTGCAATTTCATTGAATATCGAAGCACTGCAAATTGAAAAAAGTTGATTTTTTTTCAAAATGTAGAAGAGTTCAACTACATGAAAAGTATAATCGACCATAAATGGTACCATAATGACTTGTGAATTCCTTTATACCGTCATCTTCTGTGTGTACTCGTCATGTTATTATACAATTTTCTCTTCACATCCCTTTTACTCTTTCCACGTTTTTCTTTAATTGAACATATCACTCTTGTCATTATTAGTTTCATCATCTTTGTTTAGTTTTTAATGTTTTGCAGGAAACTACAGCTGAAGGTGCCAACAACAATGGGGAAACCTCTGCTGGAATGACAGTTCAAGAGCTTAAAACTAAACTGAGGTAGCTACATCTATGCTATGCCTAGTCTTATTTCCATTAAACACTCATGATTCATTGCTGCTGGAAATGAGATCAAACCATTCTGATTAATGCTTATACTGTTATTACCCTTTTATCAGTTCATTTTCCTTGTAAGGGAAGAAACTTTTTCCCTTTTAGCATGTCATGATTGAGTTGAAAGAAAAGAAACTTCAACATATTATCGATCATTGTGGAGAACTACACTACAGCATTATGGTTTATGAGATCAAATCTCCTTATTGAGGTTTTTGAATTGTAGGAGCGTGGGGGTTCCAACAGAAGGTTCTAAAGACAATCTTGTATGCACGTGGAACAAATTCTTTTCTGAAGAAGTTGATGGTAATGTTGTCTACTAGTCATGAATCTATTGAACACACTCAACAATTTGGAGCTACAAATGTAGTTTTGAAGTGTTTCATCTGGCTCATTAAGAATCTTTATGTATTTTTTTTTTTGTATGAAGAGTTTCAAGAGGTTGTTGAAGATGAAAAATCCACCAGAGTGAATGATGTTCATGGTGAAAAGGTTTCCAAAAGGAAGGCAAAAAGTTTGTCTGTTGAAGAGCATGCTGAGGTTATGAGCACTGTTAATTCTGTAGATAAAAGGAGCACGAGACGTGCAAAACAAACCCATACAGATCCAAACATCACTGTTGAGACTTGTGGACATATGCAGTCAAAAGTTGCAAAGACAAAATCTAAAGCTAAAAGTAATACCAAGAAAGAGCTTCCTCTGAACACCAATAAGGTGTCAGGTGCTTCTTTAACTACTTTAATTAACCTGCACCTACCTTCTTCCATCTGCTCATATAATACAATTTATAACAGTTACAAGTTTCATTTTACATGTTGCAATTATGGGTAAAAGATAAAGTAAATTGCCTATATCTCTAAAAAGAGTGAAGTATGTTGCTATTTTCTGCAATTTATCTTAACCCAAATTGATTTTACATGGGGTATGTGTATGTTTTCAGGTAAAAAAGCAATCGGCTTAACATCAGAAGTTGTTTCTGAAGGTATTGAAACATGTAATAAGATGGATATTTCTGAACTTCCAGTTGAACCATGGACTGTTCTTGCTCACAAGAAGCCACAAAAAGATTGGATACCTTACAACCCTAGGACTATGAGACCTCCTCCTCTTGCTGATGATGTGAAACATGTGAAGCTGATGTCTTGGAATGTCAATGGTTTGAGGGCTTTGCTAAAACTGGAGAGCTTTTCTGCTTTAGAACTTGCACAAAGAGAAGATTTTGATGTACTTTGCTTACAGGAAACAAAATTGCAGGTAAGTTTCTGTTTCCTCCCTTCATTAATATTATCAATACAAGAGACAGTTTGTTTGTGTATAATATGTTGGTTGCTTATTGCATTTCTTTTTGTGAAAACAGGAGAAAGATGTAGAAGCAATCAAACAACGTCTTTTGGAAGGATATGAGAATAGCTTTTGGACTTGTAGTGTCTCAAAACTTGGATACTCTGGGACTGCAATTATCTCTAGGGTATGCTCATTTATCTCTTTACAACACTTTTTCTTTTTAAAAGAGAAATATATTTGGTTCTGTATGTGTTTTATATGACATAAATAATGGCTTTCCTGACAGATACCACCAGTTTCTGTTAGATATGGAGTTGGGATATCAGATCATGATAGTGAAGGAAGGCTTGTGACAACAGAGTTTGATTCGTTTTATCTAATAAGTGGATATGTTCCTAATTCTGGTGATGGTCTGAAAAGGCTGGTAAAACAGCTACTCGTCTTTTTAGCATTTTATTTTATTTTATTTTATTATGTGTTATCTTTTAGTAATAATTTGTGTGGATGCATTTATATCTATAGTCATACAGGACAACAGAGTGGGATCCTAGTCTTAGCAATTATGTGAAGGTAATTAATTACATATTGTTGTTAACTTTTGTTTTGATTTTGTCTATTATGATAATCTTTGTATACAATACATTATTGATTATACATATAGGAGCTGGAAAAGTCAAAACCTGTCATCTTAACTGGTGATCTGAATTGTGCTCATCAAGAAATAGACATCTACAATCCTGCAGTAAGTTGTGTATATAAGAAGTTAGGTTAAGATTCATCTTTTGTTTATTGTTTGTTATTGTCTGTAGGGAAACAAACGCAGTGCTGGTTTTACAATTGAGGAAAGAATGTCATTTGAGGAAAATTTCCTAAAAAAAGGTTTTGTTGATACCTTCCGGAAACAGCATCCTAATGTTGTTGGCTATACTTACTGGGGTTTCAGGCATGGTGGGCGAAAAAATAACAGAGGTACTTTTGTCTTTATTTGTATATAATATTAATAAATATATAAGATTTTATTTTAAAAATGTTTTAGCCTTTTAGGTAGTGTTTGTTATGATGGAATCATGGAGAAAGAGTGAAATGGTTGCTATTATAAACAAATTAATAGAAGTAGGTTGCTATTTGTTGCATTCAAATGTAAAGAGTTATGGTAAACCTAAATGTGAATTGTGAAACAGGATGGAGGCTGGACTACTTCCTTGTATCAGAGTCGATTGCAGATAAAGTCCATGACTCTTTCATTCTTCCAGATGTTACAGGCAGTGATCACTGTCCAATTGGCCTTGTTCTTAAGCTGTAATCCAAACTGTCTGAAGGAGTTAAGTCGAGAAAATAGCACTTATGTAAGGCTTTTGCTTTAAAATCTCAACTCCCTTTTTCATCACCAAGGATAGATAGATTGCTTTAAAATCTCAACTCCCTTTTTAATTAACATGTTGTCCTTTAAAAAAATCTATCAAATTGCATACTCTGAGTACCAGCTAAACTAATTAACATATTGCTGTAGTGGATAAGTTTTTCACAATACGATATAATAAAAGAATAAATATGAATAAATGATTAATACCAGAGCAACAAATAGCAACCTACTTCTATCAAATTGCATACTCTGAGTACCAGCTAAACTAATTAACATATTGTTGTAGTGGATAAGTTTTTCACAATACGATATAATAAAAGAATAAATATGAATAAATGATTAATACCAGAGCAATTATGTAATATGAATAAATATAAACTTAGTATTATACTAAAAGTAAATGAAACTATAAAGAGTTGTTTTATAAAAGGGCAAATATTTTAAAAGTCCCAAGTTTTTCATGTGTAATTGGGAGAAACCCTGTTATTTATTTTTTTGGTTGATTCTGGTCACAACTTTTACGCAGAGTTATTATTCTAGCCCATTTAATGAGTTTTATGGCTAATACTCTTATTTATTTATTTTTTTTGCAAAATCTGTCCTAAAATTGAGTTTAAAGTCTAAATTTGGTCCCTATAGTTTGCAAAAAATCACCACATGTCCAAAACTCGGTTTTATGTTCTTTTAACATCGCCTTATGATCACTTTATTTTCGACCGACGAGACTTGCCCTGTTTGTCGCAAGGCATGCTTGGACTCCTTTGGGGAGCATACAATTCATTGTAAAGAGCATATAGATCTTTATTTAGGCACGTTGGGGTTTCTGCTAAGAAAAAGGCACATGTGAACTTTCTGACTAGCCCATTGGAAGAAAGATCAACACTTGGACTTCTTTGTGAATGTTGACCGATTAAGATGTGATTTAAATGGTTTCATTTATAAGTTATTAAACAACTTCTAAGGAAATATAAAATACATTACTATTTCTTGTATTTAGACTGTTATACTTTGAACATATAGTTATTCATTTGATATTTATATATTTAACTATAGGTCAAAATTTGAATTTTTTGTGTGATAAAAGAATAAATGATTATAATTATTTTTTCGTTTTAAATAAAACTATTTTGATTGACAAATTTATATGAGATCCTAACAACATCAAGACATGCTCAATTATCTTTTAACCTAGCTATGTTAGGCTCTTAAATAATTGTTGCAGCACATAATATGTATGTCGTTCCCCCTTTTCGACATGTAGCTACTACTGACTATATAGCACACAATTGTCAATTTTCATACTTGATAGGTGGATTTATATATAGTTGGTGTTGTTGTCCATGCAACCATTTTTATGGTAAGAGATCTTGATCCAACGATCTATTAGATCGTGTTTTTAAGCATCACGATGCAATCATATCATATCTCAAATGGTAATGTAATATAATGTAATGCAATAGAAAACCCTAAATATGTGCAAAATATAACAATGAAATTAATCGAATATTAATATTTAAAAGATCAAAAATTGATATCAATAAATCACTTATTGCAATTAAATAAAATTTGTTTGTTACATGTTCGAAAAACATTATTAATGAATTTGTTTATTATGTAGATCTTATAGCATCAACAATGGTTAAGTATTAAGAAGCTTATTTATTATATCATCTATCTTAAAAACCTTTTATAATGTAAAAAATGGTAAAATGTACCATACTTTTTACAATGGATATTACTTTGAAAGATTTTTTTTAATAATTAAACATTTATGTTTATCTATTTGAAGGTTTTTATAAAATATAATCTATGATACAAGTTAGTGTAGACAACTACTTTTCACTTGTTACAATCTCTCTGAGCATCATGTAAATAAGTTTTGATATGTATTTTAAAAGCAAGAATTGCACACGACATTCTTTCTTTTTGTTTCAAAATAAAAGTTAAATGTCTCCTTTAGATTTTAATGTTGAAAATTGTTAACAACACCATAAACAACAATAACATGGAAAACCGATAACTATGAATCAGAACAAAAAAGTTGGTCCAAACAAAAATGATTGTCAAAATAGTTGGTCCAAACAAAAATGTTTGTCAAATTTGAGGGTTTATTTGAAAAAAAAAAGTTGTGATACTTTCGAAAAAAGATGGTGAGGGTTTTTTCATAAATAAATTTTGTAAAATCCGAAGATTGTTGTTAATTTGCTAAAAGTGCCAAATTAAAAATAAAAAATAAAAAATATATAACGATGTTTTAAGAAAAACCATAAAAATAAAGTTGATGTTAAGTGATAAGTTCATTTTTATATATTTTCTTAAATTTGTTTTCATGACATCTTATATATTTAGTATGTTACTTTTTTTATATTTTAGATTTATATTAATTAATTATTTATTTAATTTTAGCATGCATATTATATTAGATTTTGCATAATTTATGTATTTTTTATTTTAGTTATTACATAGCTAAAACAATTTTGCTCGTTTAACCTCTGTTTATGCAGAATTACACAAACGGATGACAATATTTTTTAGTATTAATGAAATCACATGAAAATATTTGCCATCATGTTGGTGATAAAGAAGAAAAATAAAGCGATATTGATGATGTTTTGGAATTTTAAATTTTTTACCACACTACACTGCATGGTCTTCATCAAGCGGTCGAAGGGTAAACATAATCCGATCGAGCTGAATTTTTACAAATGTCTACGGTCTACCTAACTCACTAATTTTTATTCTGAACGGTGAAGATAGGATATGATGGAGCTTAATCAGTGTTAGGCGGCCTCATGAACAGCAGCAGAAAATCTGTCCAATAAACATTAATATGGCAGCCCAAAGTGAGCCCAAAAAGCTGATTTTAAAAGTCAAAATGTTGGATTCTTTTCTAATCTGCTCGGCAGCCCATAGTTCAATTATAAACGGCCCAAAACCCCAAAGATTTAGCCCATATTTTCTATTATGAAATGAGGAGGAGGTAAAGATTTTTTGGGGATACAAAAGGTGGGATCGGTTTGGAGGAGATCACGTTCGCGCAAAGGAAGAAAAAGAGCGAGCATCAAAAACAAACTTCTTATTATAGGCTACAACCGTTTGACCAACTCTTCTGCTGCAGAGCGTTGCAAATGTGATCCGTAAACTTCAACAGTTTTCGCTTCGAAAAAACAAATAACATCTTAAAACAAACAACACCTTAGTTAAGTCTTTGAAGAAAATCAAATGTTGTGTGATAAGATGAAAGTGAAATATAAAGGGTTTAATAATTTTTATTTTTATTTTATGTATTTTAATATCTTGTTTTTATTTGATATAATTATCAAATACATTTTAATTATATAAATATTATATATACTTAAAAATAACAATTGGATGATGGGAGTTTATTAAATATTTCACAAAGATAAGATCAATCTACTTAATTTTATAAAGTTTTTTTTTTCTATTTGATAAATTTGTTAGAAATATGATGTGTCTAGTTATACAAAAGGTCCATGATTGGAGATTTTGTTTGAAATATAGATGTATAGGAAAATAACCTGATGCAATTCAAAACGACCGGTCCAATTTAAATCTCTTCTTTATCTCTAATAAAAGACTCTTAAACCAGCCACATGTCTTCTTTTAAACACAATCTCATGCCACGTGTCATATTCTCCTAAGCCCTTGACTCTATTTCCCGCTTTTTTATTCATCCAAAAACGTTGCTGAAAATCAATTTTTAAATCGGAAACTATTCTGATTTCAATAAATTAGCAATAATCTAGGCAATATATCAGCAAACGTAATCTTTCCAAAAGATTTAAACTGGTGATCCAATTACTCCCCTTCTTATATGCTTCGGTAATTTTGTGATTTGAACATTCATCTGCACTCGGTTTCTAGCAGCCTACATGCTTTTAATTTTTGCATCGATTTTAATATTCATCATTCTATGAGATTTGAAGATTCATACCGTCAGGTAATTTTTTTTGTGTTGTTGTATTGTGTGTGTGTGTTGTACTTTAAATGTGGATGCCTTACCCCATTGGAAGATGCTACCTTTTTTCTAAATCTCTAAAAGAAATCATACGATGAGTTTGCAGGTCCTCTTTAGTTGAATATCATCGATGTTACTAAGTGCTTATTCCTAAATTTCATCCTTATTGCTTCCTTAATCTAGAAAAAATTATTTATTATTTATTTGTTAAGTTTAATTTGAATCACATTTCAATAAATAAAGTTGATTCACAGTACTTTAATATAACTATTAGCTTGAATGGTTTATAAATGGTAATAGGTAACCGATAATAAGGAGATGAGAGTTAATATTCGTTAGAGTGCATACAAGGTGTTTGATGGAATGCCATAGTGAAATTTTATTGCAAGAGCTGAACAATTGTACATTCCATTCAACCTTTTATGAAAATTAATTAATTATTCATCTCATGGATCCAAATTTAAAAAATACTTTTTGTCTTTATATGGTTTTTAAGATTTTAGGACGACAATCCATCAAGCAAGCATGGTTGATGATAAACATTATTTGTTTTCCTTTCTATAATGATTAGAATCAAGTTTGAAGGTGCCTGATGAAGTTTTTGATTTACTATAATCATCTTTAATCATAAATGGCTTGAAGATGGAATGGAAATCTTCTGTGTTATATGTAATATATATTTTCTCTCTTATCATATTTTACAGTATATTATTTCTAATTTTATCTTCCATTGTATTGGTAGAAGATTTTGAAGGCGTGTGGAATGGGGTGAAGTGAGTATATTATCAAACAACAAAAGATTAAAGGATATTGTTCAAAAGTCCATGACACCAGACGTTCTGGTAATCTTGTCCAATGACCCGATGATAAAATGAATTATGTATAAAAGACATGAATCTAACAATAAATTAACTTCGGTCCTAAGTTCCACAACTCTTAACTTCTCTTTGATTTGGGGATGATAATATGATTATTTTGCCCTTATGAACTCGAAAAATGTTTAACATGAAAATAATACCCAATTTGATTCGTTGTAGAGTCAAGGTTATATTCTTTAAGAGAAATTTCTTGCTAGAAATATGATTTTGCAAAATAAAAACCCCAAAATAAATTTGAGATAAATGGATCAAAGACATTTGATGTTCAAAATAGTAATTTTACAATTTTAAGGTGAACTACCAAGTTGATCACATGCAATATCTATAATACCTAATTACAACCATAATTCTTTTTTTACATAAAAAGAAATAATTTTGGAACCGCAAAAGAAAATCCAAATCATATATAATCTCTGATTTTATTTATTTATTTTATAATTTTAACTTTTTTTTTTCCTTTTTAACCATTGTATGTTGGAAGTTGTTTAAAATTGTTGAGAATTTGTATTGAAAGATATTAGTTTATATTATATTATTTAAATTGTGTTTAAAAAATGATATTGGTTTCAAGTTATACAATTACAAGTTATACTTTTGTAAACACCTTCCGTCTAATAATCAATAGAAAAATAACATTTCTACACCTACATTTTCATTTTTGATACACTTAGAAGGATAAATGAATATTTACGCAATCATGTATCATATTTTTATGAATTTATTCAACTCAAATGTAATATGTTGAATAAGCATCGGATTCATAACATATTAAAGAATCCAATTAAAAATTTCAAAGAACATATAAACAAGTATCAAATGTTATATAAAAGTAACTATATAAATTTATGATTAATGATTACATTTTTCTTATCTTATTTTATTTTATTAACTGTGTAACACACAGGTTATAACCTAGTTCATTGATATACATGGATATCCAATTAAGATTGGATTGGATTGGTAACAAAATTTCGATATTCAAATTGGATTGGTTTGTTGTTGGATAACAAGCCAAATAAAATAAAAAACTAAACCGACCTAACCTGAATATCCAATTATCATTGAGTTGAATATATCAAAATATTATCTAATTTACCCGATATATATATATATATATATATATATATATATATATATATATATATATATATATATATATATATATATATATATATATATATATATATATAAAGAGAGAGATTTCGTTGAGATTCAAAATAAAATAGAAATCTTGACATTCAATCTCAGTCACATACTTCACATCCGCCGTTCTAACCCTCCGGCGTAGCGGCGCGGCGGGTCAGTGATAATCATAAATTATTATATAGCTTGACCCGTTCCTTTTTCA